CTATAAAACACTGGTTTTCTCCTTTGATTAAAAAGTGGCAAATTTCTTCTTTTCCCGGAAATGTTGACCAGTTAATACTAATTATTCCAGATGTTTTTCGCATACCAGATCCATCTCTTTTTGCCCTCAAAGCATTTTCTAATGTTTTGTCAGACCAATTCATTAAGTTTCTGCTCCCCAATATGCTTATTTAGATTTTATCTATAAAATGTAAGGAAATCGGCTCCATATTTTTTACGCCCTGCATAGCAACATCTAAATGTAAATGAATCGTATTACTATTATAAAGTACCACGTATTGTACACCTATGAGTGTTGATTTTTAGTAGAAATAAATCTGCACAGTCAGCTTGTCTGCCATTGCTGGTTTCAATAAGGAATGAATAGTTGAATTTAGTATTCTACTCTTGTCGACAGGCATAATAACCAACTTGCATTTTTGCTAAACTATTAGAACGCATATGTGGTAGTTCTGCTTCGCGTTCAATTACATTTCTAATGAAAGTCTCTTCTAATGAAACTCCTAAATGTCTACTGCGCAAAGAACATACGTCTTGGTGCAGAAAAGTATGCATTGGGCACAGCAAATTCCTCACTGTAATCAGCCGAGAAGAATTGAAGATTTTAAATATGTAGGTCTTCTTCAAACTATTACTCGATTCCGAGTTCCTTCCGAAGATGATGGAAAATCAGCCCTAAGCCTTTCAATGGCTTCCATACCTGGTTTTAGTGCCGTTAATCTCAAGTGGTCCTCATTGTTGTTTATGAATTGTGAAATATAGTAGTTCCACTCGTTTATTATGCCGAAGATTTAAAGACTTGAAGAGCACAATTTGAAAACTAACCACAAATGCGGCGGTATAACGTATTTTCTAGCAGGTTTCCTAATGCTTATTTTGCAACGTTTGGCCATATAAATAGTTTGTCAAATGAACATAAAAGGACTTTAAAATATTGGTGTCGGTAGTTCTTGAAAAGTTCCCTTGGCGTTCATCCATGCGGTTGTCTTATTGCTGTACTCTATACCTACATTATTATTCTGTTATCTTTAAGAGGTAATTAATCAGATTTTTTAAATGGAGCCTGATTGTGCATGGGTGTGCATCACACTTTTTTGTTATTATTTTTTTTGACTGCAAATGCGAAAGCCTCCGTGGGTACTTGTAATATGTGGTCTTAATAGATGGGCGGGTTGCGGGCGCTAAGTGATCATCTGTTACAATCATTTTGAAGCACCGCCCGCCGCTGATGATGATGATGACGTGCTTTGTTTCAATTCACAAAGGTACGGAAAAAATTAGAGCAAGAACCGACACTTAGAAGATGAGTGCTTGTAATTAGCGCTCTTACAGCTTCAATGCTTTATTAAAATGCTTACATTTACTCATAGAATGTTTCGATTCTTCTAAATATCTGCACAAATAAATCTACAATACACGATTTGTTTTGTAGGCAATATGGGTACAATATAAATGGCGTTGGACGATGTTTTACCTAATTTATTTATCGAAGCTGGCAAAAACTGATGAGTTAGCTATCGGCGAGCCAAAATCGACTTTAGAATTTTCCAACAAAAGGCAGTTGTGGCCGAAAAAGGCATTGAAACACTTACTCATGTCTCAATGCCGAGAAAAACATGAGCACGTGCCCATATACACAAAGATTTGGCAAGGATCTCTATGAATAAAACATTTGTCGAATTAAAGACGATCTTGTTTTTATCCTTTTCCGATCCACGTGCTATTGCGGTCCCCATTTGTGCCCAACAAGATCGTTCTAATAAAAACATGCCCAATTTTGAGCAGTTGCTTTACATTTCTTTACAATGCCATAGTTATTTTTATTTAGGAATTCTGCTAAGCAGCCTGCCTGCTCTGAATTACTTTCATAAATTACGTTAATGCGACTTAAAAGTTATAGAACAAGGCTGAAGCTTACAGTTCAAACTAGGAACAACGCTCAAAATTCAAAAAAGTTCTTCTCTTTGAAACGTAACTTCCCTTTCTGCTAACTGCTAAATGAACAGGTCAATTTCTAGATTTTTCGGGCTTTTAGGCCGATTTTTTTTATTTTTTTCAAACTCACGAGTTTGCTGCATCTTCAAAAATGTTTTCGCTACAAAGCTTGCGCTCCTGAATGCTCCATCACAGCATATTTTTTGATAGAAAAGTAATTTTTCGCACCGACGCTGTGCTTAAATTTACCTTTAAGAATTTTTAGTTGAAAATAAAACGTGACTTCAAAATGTAGAGTTACAAGTCTTCTAATCATTAGCTTTGTAAGTTCAAATGGTATGCAAAGAAAATTGAAATCCATATTTGGAAATAGCAGGATGATTAATGTGTTTAAAAGGAAAAAGACCGTGTATGAAGACTAAAATTAGTTGGAGCAAAAAGTGGCTTAGACAAAAGGAAAAATAAAATCCATATTTAAAAATAGTAAGATGATTAATTATGCGTTTGAAAAGGAAAATGCCGCGTCCACAGACTGAAATTAGTTAGAGCAAAAAGTGTTTTTAATGTTTTGTGTTTAAGCAGCAGAATTAATAATCAGTTATTAATCGGTAAAACAAATCGAACAAAAGAGCCCTTTACTGTAATTGCAAATTTGTCTTAGTTTAACGCATTTTAACGGCTCAACAAAACAGACGTTAGTTACACGGGCAAATTGCGACCAATTTTGGACGTGGATAAATTCTGAATGCTGAGAGCGATTTTATTTCAATTCTGGTCGGTTAGTGTCTGTTTTTGCATCTAATTATTGCTGCAGATGAAGTTTCTATAGGGTGGCTGGAAAAACGATTTTGATTTTGTCTACCATCTTGTTCATTTACAGCCTTGCAAAAACCTTGTTAATCTTTTTTCTCTTAAACCGATTCTCAAAATCTAAGACTTACCTGAATGACCAAAATATGTGAAAGTAAACTTTCAGAAAACTTCCGGAATCACGTATTTCGGGAGCCATTCTGATTTGGGTAATTTTTCATGCAACCCTGTAAATCAAATTTTTGGCTTAAATTATCTATGAAGTTTCAGCTTCAACATGAGATCAATGTTGTGAAAATCTAACCACGGGCAGAAAAGTTGTCGCTGCAAGGCCAAAAAGTAGATTTTTGAGGCTACTCTGTAAAAATTCAAAAACCGTTTCTAGCTATGTGGTTTATCTTTATATTTTTGCTTATTGAGAACCAAAAAATCTGTTTATGTCCATCTAGGAGCATGCCGAAGATTTCGCATTTTTGCATTTATTCATTTGCCACTCTGAGTGATTTATCTGAGTTGATTAATTTTTACCACAACATGGACTAAGAGAACACCAATGTTGCTAAATAATGCTTCAAGCAGAAACCAAATCGCTCAAAGCAATCAGAAGTTATCTAGTTCCAAAGTAAGGGCAAATTTGACTGTTTTACGTTCATTTTGTTGAGCAGTTTATATTTCTTCGTGGGTCCTTGCTAATGTAACAAAGTTGTACATGTACATTGTACATTAAAATCGGTTGAATATTATTAAGAAAATTAAAATAGAATTCAAGTCGGTAAATACTTATAATAATAAACCGAGATCAGTATATCTGATTGCGCATTGCTACTTCAGCTAAGCAAAAGACTTAAAACAAAGTATTATTATAATAAATAATAACTTGGCTTGCAAATATTTTAAGTGCCTTTGGAATAACCCACGATTTTCTCCAATTTCTCCTCTTGATAAAGCAGTTAGTAATCATGCAAATGTAAAGGAAAGTTGCCCGATTTCTATCGGCATATGATACTTAAAAGTGACTTCTCTTCGTTTCGAATTGGAGTTGGGGTTTAGCTGAGAACGCGGCACTGTTTATTAGAGTTTTTTGAACTATAGACCACGGGAATCCCTATATTGGTCATGAACTGGTCATAATCAAGTTTCCTTTAAGATTCCCATTATAATGATGAAATAGAGAAAATGAAGAAACGTGCAGAAAATACGTCGAATCTTATATTCACGGTGTTTTTTGCTAATGCAGCGCAACAATTATAAGGCCAGATGGTTCTACTGAATAGGCAGACAACAAAGAAGGAAAACATTTTTATTAAACGTCTTATTAAAATATTCTTTTCAGTTTCGTAGCGGCCAGTTTTCCTTTTCGGGACGCATTGCCGGAAAAAAATAACGCGGCCGACAACCTGCACATTTTACTCTTATTTTCTTCGGGAACAGATGTGGATCAAGTTATTTAAGCTCGTCATGTAAAATTTATACATCGCTGTTACATTTTATAAGGAGATGCTCTGGATTATTATATCCGTATACATATGGTTGCCGCTTTATATTTAGTACGCGTACGATTACAGAATCGAAAATGGGCACTTAATTATCCTCTTTGTAATAAATAAGGCGACACCAGCAATGGAAAATTTGTTTCTTATGTCTCAATATTTATGTGGCTGATTGCTCCCAAGCAAAGTTCGATTATCCTGCCTGCAATTTGCTGGATTTTTTTTGCTTTATTGGCATACCGTTTTCTTTTGTACCATTTTTGTTCAAAACGTGTGGCTCAAATCCAGATTCACTTGGATGCTATCACATTGCAATTGACATTATCGCCATACATGAACTAGAATGCACAACAGTTGCATGGAAAATTAACCCACATATATTCTCCGGTAACCGGCAAGAATAACATCGCAAAATCGTGAGACGGTTACAAAACCAGCTAGAGCTCCGTATAGAACCAAATTTGGATGGCATCGCTCCCAAAAACGGTTTTGGTCTTGCGTTTGCAAAAAGTTCGAGAGCCCGACCGAGATTTTAACTGCCCGTTGTCAAAAATAATGACCGAATTTTATTACAACGAAGGGTAGTAAAAAGTCGAATAAAAGGTAATTTTTGCGTACCAAAACTTAATTTATTGGCGAAGTAAATTTGCTGTTAAAATACATCCCAAATTCGAACGTGCAGAATGCAGAGTGATGTATTTATATATTTCGAGGAATTCGAGCTACTTTGATGATTCAGGAAGTCAATACTTGTCCGAGAGTTATATTGCGAAAGATCGGATTCCTCACAAATTTATTCAACAGGAATTCGCTAGATAATATTTCCCTCATTGTATTGTTCTTATGCAGTAAAAGTCTCTAAACTGTTCTATCGTGAGTGTTTTTAAGCCTGTTCCACGTGCTGCGTTCAGCTTAGTGTCTTTTTCTAAATTAAATAAAAATCACGCATATTCTTACGAATGAAAAGTTATAATAACACATTCATCTATATGTTTAAAACCAGCACTAAGTGTGATAGAAACATGTAAAGATTTAGACATGTGCTAATCTCAGGCACCCCCATAACCTTTGAGGCTTTGAACCTATCTGCTCTCATCAGCTGCTGGGTTGGCTCAACATTTGTCGGCTCTGCTGATGCCAAACGTTCCGTTGGTTTTCAACCAACCAATTGGAAAAATGGAATGAATATAAATAAATAAAAAGATCAGACGGAAACAATTGCGATCCCCGGAAAAAATGCTCATCTGAAAGAAGAACTACATTCTCTTTGGGGCTATGCAGTGTTTTCTCAAGTTTAAAATTTTTTTTCAAGACAATATGCGACGAAAAATCGTTTTTTGTTACTTTTCACACAATTATAACAATAAGAGCGGAATATTAACCGAAATACATCTAGCAAGCAATGCACTTTGCAGCAAAATTGCATTCTAAAATAAGTACGAAAACGAAGCGTTGCAGGCTAAAAACTCCAAAAAACTTTTCTTTTTCAAATCAAAAATATAATTGAAAAATAATTTTGTATTATGAAAAACGATTAGCGTAATCATTATTCCCACGCAACTGGCTTCATTTTTCGTCAGAATTAAACGTGTACCTTCACTAGAATATTATTGCCTAGAAATTTTAGAGCTGATATTTCTCCATTAGCCAAATCATTTTTAATTCTATTTATCTGCAGTTTTTTTGCGTTCTTGTTATTTCACGTTTCTTCGAAAAAGTTGCAGTTATTCCTGTACCGGTTCTTCTAAGGCAGTTCAAATTATGTCAGCTTTCTGTTGTTCTTTAAATTGTTCTTCTTGTATGCTGCAAAAGCGCAGCTTCCTATACCTATAATTCTACCAAAAATAATTCACTAGAAAATATGTTAGAGCACGAGCTTTCAAGCAGCAAAACTGATTGATGTAAGAAAAAAAAACGATTAAATCGCGCAAATTAGTCAAACATACTATTTTTTCACCATGCTAAAGACGTTTTTTTTAACCCTGACCGATATTTTCTCTACGAAAAAAAATACACAGGCAATTTGCTAATGGCACAAAGTTTGTAAACAACTTTCCTGCGCTGTTCTAATTAGCTCACATGTCAATCACAGAATCCTCGTTGTGGTCGATTTGCATAGAGAAAGTCAGACGTTTCTAATTTGCCAACATTCCTTGGATCCTTTTCTTGGCCATTAACCTGTAAAAAATTATGAATGACTTTTTTTAGCTTTCACTACGCAGTTGCTCGTTTTAATCCACTTAGCATGATGAGTTTCACTTTCGTTCAAGAAACAGAAGTAAACATTTCATTTCGCTTTCTACTAGACGTAAAATACGCATCAGTGTCGTTAGAGAGCAAGTTTGCCGCCTCTAATGATCTTGTTTAATAAAATGCATCGCTTTCGTAACTGAATCAAACGCGTTGAGTCCAAATACAACTAAAGGTCGAATATCTTTCGAGCATCCTCTAAGGTGGTAAGAGGTTATCACCTCTGGTTGGGCTAATTGCACTGTTCGGTGATGGAGTTTAGAATGTCGGCCTCAACTTCTATTAAATTTTGATTATAGGGAGAGACGCGTCCTTAAACAAAGAGTTTAGAGTCGATAGCCTCCGAGTCCATCTATTGTTGAGATGACCCATTTCAGTTAACTTTATGGGACTATTTTACAGGGTGGACCAGTGCTTTTATGAACATGATCTTCGTTACTGGACTTCATTATCGAATCGAGTATTCCCTTTCTGACTTTTCATCATTTTCAGCTTACCCTTTGGTCGTTGTTAAATTTTTTCGTCATTCAAATATTGAGCAAGTTAACTCAATTTCCTTGCTTCTAGTGCGCTTCTTTGGTTGGCTACAATTCAGAAAAACAGGCAGCTAGAGCCCTTTTGGCATTGATTTCCGCTTTACCGTTTAATCTGTTTTTCGTGCTGGTTTCTCTCCTTCAAGCATTCCCCCTGTACATTGAAGCTAGTTGGGTCAGATGAGTGAAAAAACCAAGAAACCTTGGCCTGTTTTCTGGAGGCCATTGGCCCGCATATATTCAAAAGAACTGGAGATGCTCGGCAATATGGGCGTTATATGTTACATTATTACATGGGTAACATACAGGGTATAAGAACGAACTGGAAATTATTTTTTGTTACCATTCTTAATTAAATCTTAATTAAATCCGAGTGCTGGAGCCAATTAAAACAATACAAGATTTAGCAGCTAATCCTGCACATTCTATTGAAGTAACTAACACATTATGACAAATTAATATTGCCCTCATTTGGAATCGTCTCATTTTTCTCCATATAATGATGTTCTTACTAGTTAATCTACTAATAATTTTCTATTCTAATAATCTAATTTTTTGCAAAATTAGTTTATGAGCGCTCATTTTTCTCAATCCAATAAATGCAAAAATATTAAAATCATAATATTAGTGAATCGCTTTAATTATTGCCCTTTGCACAGCCTGATTAATTTCTATAACGATTGGTAAATTAATTTACCAGCAGAAGCTAGAGCATAATTATAGATTTCCTGCAGGCAAACAGAACAAACTATTGAACTATTAGGCTTGGGTACATTAAGAAAACAACCTCCAATAATTTACCACTGTGTAGGTTCCTAACATTGAACCTGACTAGCAACTAATAACGCTTATGCCAGGTAGGATAGTTAGATCAGGTCATAATAATAAAGAACACGTACGGTCCGAACTGTGTATAGTAAATTTGAAATGCCTTGTCCGAGGCTCTAATTTGTTTTTTATAGCGTGTAATGCAGTTTGGAAAAATTTGATTAAGATTAAGATTAAGGACTTGAGGTTTGTCTTCCTACATGCAGGAATATCTTCAGCAATGTCTTTTATTAACCTTTAACGTTGGAATTGTTTATCAACATGATTTGATTACCAGCCGGCCAAGTTCGTCATTTTATAGAAATAGCTACCAAATTATGCTTCAATTAACCATGCAATTTAACCACAATTTGCCTTTGATTTAATTTATTAAAACGTATACACAGAAAAAGAAAAACACGCGCCTTATCTCGATAATGGGAAATGATTATGGCTTATAAGCAAAGTTGCCAATTAAATCATACTTATAAAATACATAATAAAAATTTCAGATTTGAATAATGCATTATTAACTTTCGTCATTTTTAAAATTCACGCTACTTATGTGATATTTGAGTTGGTGGATACATGAACTTAATATATAGATATCCTTATAGGAACATTTTAATCCCTTAAATGACCTCAATCAAGTCATGCTTCAAGTTCAATTGAAAAATATAAAGCAATTTACCTGAGCATAAAATGTGGGTATGTGATGGGACTTGACATACCTACATGTATGTGAAGGGTGAATGGGAGATTTTTCACGTAAATCTACGTTAATAACAAAGCTTCATTCATTAGATATTTTAACCCTTATTGGGTGCTCCTAAAAGTGGAGAACTTTCGACAATTTATTAGCAGCAGTTTATGGTTTTATGAAGGTTTATCTTCGGTTTCCCTTGTTGGATTCTTTTGTGTGCTGATTTATCGTATTCACCGAATTTTAGAGTGGTGATGCCAAAATATCAATTGCTCTGTTCGCAACATATTTACTGTTGTCCCATTTCTTCAGCCTGATTCTCTTGGCCCGTAGGATGATTGGTCTGCATGAGAACTCAAAGAATCCTTTAAAGTAGTCTTCACTTGCAAATTAAACAAAGAAACATATATTTTGGAGTATATAACTTGATCAAAAGCAAACATTTGTTTTTCTTTGGTAAACCGGAAGATTTTTTATTTCTACTTCAAATTCCATCTTCACCCAAATTCAAACAGCCATAAATCGGAGTTAATCTAAGCTGTTTGCTTTCGTGCATAACGAGCCACAATCCTCTCCTCTATTATCAACTTATTTACCTGCTCGTTGTATGTAAATTAAAATCTCTTGATGGAAAGGAAAAGTTATTACAAATTCTTAAAATTCTTTTGAATTCTACTCGCCAATATAGCGATACGCATAAAAACCATTTAATTGAATGTTAGCACGTATTCGTGCTACATAAATTACGAAATTATAAGAACTTATAGCACTTCATGTCATCATGAGATGTTATCTGTGTCCTTATAACGAGTTAAATGATTATTAATTTTTTCAATAATATACGCTGCCGATTCATGCAAAAAAATATTTGAACGCATATTACCTGAGCTTTTGCAGGTTTCATTAGTCGACAGGTTTGCAGCCGACCACGTACATTTCCCTTTCCGTAATTACTAAGGATACGAAATTCAACTCGTTTAGTTTTAATTAAAACTGTTTAGGGCCTGTAAAAGCGCCTCTTTTTTCCACAGCGCGTATCTAATTTGTCACAGCTAAGCTTTATAATTAAATAATGCATAATTTAACTCCTTCTACCAAGGCTTATTTATTTTGTTTCGTGAAATCAATATTTTGATCTACGTTTTCTGCTTTTAAATCAAAAAGTGAATGGAAAATTGTCGCGCAAAATTAACAATGCAGGATTCATTCTAGTCAAGCAATTTCCTTGACCCCACTGTGACATAATATCGGCCTCACTGTTATAAATACCTGGATAAAAGGCCTTAATGTTATTTAATTTCAGTTTGAGCTTCTGGAAAGTTTCCAGAGATTGTTTGGGCAAGACCACTGGTTTTCCGCTTTTCCGGGTTCTGTTCTGCTCTTGAAGCATTTCCCGGCGGAAATATTCGGACTGTTTGTTGTAGAAACGCATCTTTTGAAACGCGTTATTGATCAAAAATATGTCCTTTTCCCTACACTGGCAGAACTTGCACATTTTGCAACCTCCATGGCACAACAGGCATTTCCGGAGGAAATTGCCATTTCTTCCGATTTCTTTGGTCATTTGGTCATTCAACTCGAAAACATTACGAATGTCGACCTCTTCAACAAAATTGTCCAGCAGGAATTTTATGGCTGATATTTCTTCTTTAGTGCTGCTTTTGGCTGCTAGCAGTGGAAATTTTGGTTTTTGTAATTCTGTGCCTGGAAAATTATTTGGAACAATTTTATTTCTTCCAGAAATTTGTCGTCTTGTGAACTACCAGTTTCTTGGTTCACTCTTTCCTGATATCCATCAGCTTCATGCAAATTTTGCAGTTGATTTTCTACAGCTGTTATGTTTTTAATCATTTTTGGCACTGTTTGATTTACTTTTTGTCAATTAGTACATTTGTTCTTACCTGGTGTTTGTATATTGTTGTCGCAATACCGACATTCGCTCGATCATACGGTTAACAGTAATAACAAACATTGACCACTTTTTATATTGCAAAATTAATCTACTAATGGGTGTGTGAGCTTTTCAATATCCCGGCCTAACTGTATCTTGCATTTTTTCACATATTTGACATTGACTTTTAACACTTAAACGATCAAAGAGGTATATTAAAATTTATTAATAAAGAGCATTTTTTTGATAGTAACTATGCACGCGACAGGCTTGTTTATAATTAACATTCGTTCCCATGAGTCGCCTGCAGTGAATATTATTATACCATTTGATATCTATTAACTAATAAGATAATGGACGGTATGATTAAAATAATGATGAAAAATACTCAACGAATTGACAGTCGAAGGACTTTGCAGAACGATTTTATGCAGTGCGTTTTCATACGTTGATCTAGCTTTAGATTAATACTTTATAAAAATACTTTAGTGAAAAGAATTGGCTTGCTGTCTTTGAAATCGTTGATTTCAAGGACTTTTTATTGGACAATTTTGCCTCACTTTTGCCTGTCTTGTAGTTTGTTTTTGAATTGCATGAAACTCAAAATTTAACAGATATGTCCGAAATTGTTGAAATACTTGGTTGATTCCAGTACAAGGTCTACGGTTCTCATGGTTAACTTCATTAAACATCACGGTTCTATCGTAGACAATATGGCTATTTGTTATATTGTATTAAACCTGCAGGTCAAGATTTTTTATACTACTGCCAGTCATTCCTGATTGGAGTTTTCTATTTTGATTTTTTGGTGTATTTTTGTTGTTTTTCTTTGTTTGTTCATTTAATTCTACCGTGTTCTTTTGCGTTGGCGCGAACGAGGTTCATTGAAAAACTTTCAACACTCTGATTTTGGGTTGTTCTGTTATGTCGACTTTAAGCGTTGTATCGTTGAATTTATAAGATTTGCAGGGGTCTTAGGTTTCGTAAAACTTACTTGAAAATTGTTCATTCTGAAACGATTTAATGTTTAATCAATTTTCTAATAGCACTAATAGTCCAGGAGGGTTACAGATTGGCATGCTCTAACATGACGTAACTTATTAAACTAAACTACTGGAATCGCTCGGGAATTTATATACTATACCTACCTATTGAAAATATCGAGGTGAGCCAGCTTCAAAAGGTGTGCTATTTGCATACACCACGAAAAAGTGAAAAAAAATGCAAAAATCTTGTTTTTCTTCAGAAACAATCGCATATAACTCGATAAGTATGCATTTTGCAGAAGAAATGCATACGCATTAATTTCTTCGCTACAAAATGTTCGATAAGATAGAGTTAGTTGGATATTTGAAGATTTGAAATGTTCCCAGCAAAATGCTCGAAAGCGCAACAAAGTTCGTAAAAAACAAGGTAATTTTAAATTATTTATTTAACAATAAAAAAATTACCCAATCACGCCATACATTTAGGGAAAAATACCTACTTGACTGAAATACAATACGAGAGCCGCAAGGCCGATTAAGATCGGACGGACAGTTTTTGCATAATGCAATTATTAATTACCCTACTTGGAAAAAATTTGCTTTTTTTCAATTTTGTGCAAGGCTCAAATTTATGAACATTTTTTGTGCTCGCGCTTTCACCCCTTCTTGGACCCTTAAACTATCATATATAATTGCTAAATTAACCATTTTTCAGTTGTTAATTACTTTTTGAGCGGTTTTGAAAAGTTTGAAAATTTTGGCTTATAAACAAATTAGCGCGTGAAGCCGGACTTGCGAGTGGGAAAAAATCGGAAAGTACGGAAAAAATTGTACTCGGAAAGATGCTTCTTTAAGAAAAAAATAATCCAATTCGGTCTCGTAGATGCTGAGATATTAACTTTATAGTTGGGCAGCGCATGCCGCATAACGGTTAACGACATAACAATAAATGATATATCAGTCGGTAGGTTTTTCCAAGGTATTTTCGTATCTGTTTCAAAAATTGAATTGCACGTGTGAATCACGCACAAAAATTTGTATAAACATTGTATAGTGTATTTGTATAGTGTGCGCTCGGATCCGAAATTCGGAGGGGTGGGAATAGGTGGGAGCTCGGGTCCGAAATTCGCAGGGGTGGGAATTATCGCCATCCCTCTTAATTTCGGCTCCGAACACGCACTGCATAATGTTTATGTAAATTTTTGTGCGTGATGCACACGTGCAAGGTAATTTTTGAAACAGATACGAAAACATCTTGGAAAAATCTATCCATTGGTAAACAATTTATTGTGACACCATTAACCGCTACCCCGCATACCCTGCGCAACTTTCAAAGTTAATGTCTCAACATCTGCTGAACCGAATTTGATATATTTTTTGTAAAGAAACGAGTTTCCGCGTAGTCGTTTTCCATAGTTTCCAACTTGTTCCCACTCACGAGTCCCGCTTCACAGGCTAATTTGTTTATAAGCCAAAATATTCATACTTTTTAAAACCGCTCAAAAAGGTAGTAAAAATTGAAAAATGGTTAATATAGCAATTGTATATGATAGTTTAAGGGTGCAAGAAGGTGTGAAAGAGCGGGTGCAAAAAGATATTCATAACTTTGAGCCTGGCACAAAATTAAAAAAAAGACAATTTTTTCCACGTAGGTTAATTAATAATTGCATTATGCAAAAACTGTCCGTCCGATCTTAATCGGCCTTGCGGCTCTCGTATTGTATTGCACTCAAGTACTTTTCTACAAATGTAGGGCGTGATTGGGTTATTTTTTCCTTCTTAAATAAATAATTTAGAATTACCTTGTTTTTTAGCTACTTTTTTAGCACTTTCGGGTATTTTAAAGCAAACGTTTCAAATCTACAGATATCGCACCAACTTCACCTTGTAGAAAATTTTATAGCGAACAAGTATAGTTAAAACCATATTTGAAAGATTTCGTCATAATTCGCCTGGCCTATAACTTTATTTGCATTTTTCAGTTGCGCTATACACATTTGATGCTTAGTTCTTTTTAAAATTAGTTGCAATAAATTTATTAACTTGAGTTTATTTGTAGATTCATTACTTTGGGACTTTTGATCGGTTTTCCATTTGTATTGATAAAAGTTCATATCTAAACGGTCTAGAATATTATTTGTGTAGTGTTGCTCCAAACGTGTTTTTCCTCGCTGTTTGGTTTAAGAATAATTTTAACGGTTTCTGGCAGAGATTCACATTTTCCCCATATACAAATTTAACATTTTCAAGTTAACAAACACATTCAGCAGCATTTATAAAATCTCTTACATATTAATTGAAAAGTTGTAAAGCAAAATATTTCAAAAGTATTAAATATTTAATAGCATACATTCACGGACACTTTTAAAACTGAAAAAAACTTTTAAAAAAATT